AGCACTGTTTTTGATACAATTATGTCTTTACATTTACCCCTCTATGCTTTTCATTGGTTACATGGTTATAACTTTGGGTTTTATTTTCTGCTGAACGGCATGTGAATTCTATAGCTTCTGAAAAACTTCCCTTACTCATACACACACACAGGAAAGCATAAAACTGAAGACTTCTCACGAACAGTCTTTATCATTAAACATTTTAAATGTGATTAAACTATTATCGTACGAAGACGACGTTTATGATAAAAACTCGCCGACTGAACTCACCCATAAAATTCCAGTAGGTATCATGGTACCTCCAGCGCCACCTATGACAAGTTTGACGTCTCCTTTGTTGTCAACAATAATTGTCGGGGACATTGAGGACAGTGGCCGTTTCCCGGGAGAAATGGTGTTGAACTTCGAAGGTGGGATGCCATATTTATTAGATATACCTGGAGAGCTGAAGTCGTCCATTTCATTGTTGAAAACGACACCCGTTGAAGGAGACGCCCTCTTGCTTCCAAAACTGTGGTTAAAAGATAAAGCTACGGTTATCTTAGAACTAGACCTTCACAATATCTTACGCTAAGCATCGTATCATTCGTAGTTTATGTTAAATACAGTCGGTCATCGGTATGGAGAAGCGCCAAGGACGTCAGTAACTTATTCGATATTTAAATCCAAAAGAGATTCAAGGGTTTGGTTTGGTTTGTTACGAATTTCGCACAAAGCTACACGAGGGCTATCTGTGCTAGCCGTCCCTAATTTAGCAGTGTAAGACTAGAGGGAAGGCAGCTAGTCATCACCATCCACTGCCAACTCTTGGGCTACTCTTTAACAACGAATAGCGGGATTGACCGACACATTATAACGCCCCCACGCCTGAAAGGGCGAGCATGTTTATTGTGACGGGGGTTCGAACCCGCGACCCGCAGATTCTGAGTCGAGCGCCCTAACCACCTGGTCATGCCGGGGCCCCCTCCGGGGACGTCGGGAACTTATTCGATATTTAAAAGATATTAAAGATAAATGATCTGGGACCTCGTCCTAAGTTTATATCCAAAGAAATGTAGCATATTAAATACAATTCCTCCTCCGGTGACTCAGCAATAAGACTGCAGGCTTACGATGCTAAAACTCGGTTTTGACACTCGTAATGGGCAAAACACTGATAGCCCATTGTCTAGCTTTGCGCTTAGCAACAATCAAAACAAAGATACAACAAATGTTAAAGGAAACGAACGGGACGGATTTCCGATTTCAACATCAGCCAGACATTCGAGATATCCAGTTTCAAAGGTCACTTTTTTTAGGATATAATTTTACAGATAATCAACAATGAAACATTACTTTTGAGCTAAACATAAATAACCTGAACCTGAATCAAATATGTTTTTTGTTAAGCATAAAGCTACACAATGGGCTATTTGTGCTGTGCCCATCACGGGTATCGAAACTCGGTTTTTAACGTTATAAGTCTTCATACTTGCCGCTGAGCCACGTCGATGACTTTATATCATACCGTTGTTTCTGAAAATTCTCATCCAAAGTATCAGAACAGGTACGGTATTATTATCATTAGTTGCAATATAACTCGTATCTATGAATTATTTTTTTATTGGCAAGTAGGCCTAACAGAGGGTAGGATTTCATTTTCTCGATATGCATCTTGCACTCATCAATTCGATATAATTTTACTTGCTACCAACTCGGAGGAAGTTCAACAAATATTCAAATCGTTATTACAAACTAATAACACCGAAACAGATAATTGTTTGTTTGTTTTGAATTTCGCGCAAAACTACACCAGGGTTATCTAATTTAGCAGTGTAAGACTAGTGAGAAGGCAGATAATCATCACCACCCACCACAAACTCTTGGGCAACTCTTTTACCAACGAATAGTGGGATTGACCGTCACGTTATAACGCCCCCACGGCTGAAAGGGCGAGCATTCAAACCCGCTCACAGGCCACATCAGGCCCTCCAAAGCTTGATTCGTGACCTGCAATATGATCAAATATTGCAAAGTAAGTTGTATTTAAGGAATTATGTATCCCCAACAAGTTTAGTCCCGACTCCTCACTTTATGGCCATCTTCTGAAGTGGCCCAGTGCGGAAAATAATTGGGTCGAGCATGTTTGGTGTGACGGAGATTCACCCTAACCACCTGGCCATGCCGGGTCTATCAAAACACATGAAGGTGGACTTGTAAAACAACGTTTGAATATTCTAATTCCCATCCTACACTTCTACTTGCTTCTATTTTAGGTAAAAAAAAATAAAACAAACAAACAAAAATCTCGTGAAATACCTCAGAGCACTTTGTGTACTTACTATGCAAAACATTTAATTCTGATTAATTAAGTAAAACAAAAATATATGATCTTCTGAGAGAAGTTAAAGCACTTTGTGTACTTACTACGTGTTGATAGTGCTTGTAACTGCCACAGCGTCACCGTTAGGTGCAACAATTGAAACATGCGAGGTCCCTTCATCTTCCGAGAGAAATGTTTCTACTCCATAGTAAGACGGTTCGAACGTTTGGTCATCATCAATCTTCTGTAGTATTTCTTCAGCAAATTCTTTTGATGTTAATTTATTAACTAGCTGTTCGGGATGTTGTACAAAGACAGGTTTTAACTGTTATAATGGTGTGTATGTAAAAAGTTGCCAGAGTGATAAAAAAAAAAGTCTGTCACTTCTTATTGGTGCAATAGCAGTTTAAAAATCCCAAATATTGAATGTAAACAATCTGATTTGTAACTAGTAAACGTTGACATTCACACACACACAGTAAACAGTAAACGTTGACATTCACACACACAGTCAACAGTAAACGTTGACACTCGTCCAATAAACTGACTTGTAAACAGTACACGTTGACATTCACACACACACACACACACAGTAAACATTGACACTTGTCCAATAAACTGACTTGTAAACAGTACACGTTGACATTCACACACACACACACAGTAAACAGTAAACGTTGACATTCACACACACAGTAAACAGTAAACGTTGACACTCATCCAATAAACTGACTTGTAAACAGTACACGTTGACATTCACACACACAGTAAACAGTAAACGTTGACACTCATCCAATAAACTGACTTGTAAACAGTACACGTTGACATTCACACACACACACACAGTAAACGTTGACACTCGTCCAATAAACTGACTTGTAAACAGTACACGTTGACATTCACACACACACAGTAAACAGTAAACGTTGACATTCACACACACAGTAAACAGTAAAAGTTGACACTCGTCCAATAAACTGACTTGTAAACAGTACACGTTGACATTCACACACAGTAAACAATCTAACTTGCAAACAGTAAACGTTGACACTCGTCCAATAAATAATCTGACTTGTAAACAGTACACATTGACATTCACACACAGTAAACAATCCGATTTTACCACTGCCCACTAGTATACGTTTCTTCAAACTTAAAGGTTTATTGTAATTTAATAAATTTCGGCTAGAAACGAAACAAATATTTGCCAAATATTGTGACCCTGTACTCCTCTCAGCTTTGGCAACGGAAGATAAAAATATTTTGGTTAATGGAAGTATAATAATAATAAATAAGAAGTAACATGAGGAAACCCTCAATAGCTGTGGAAATTGAAAAAATTTTTTGACAGGATTTGAGTAAATTAATCTACGAGACCTTAGTTTCCTTTTTTATTAGCTATATTTTTGTGCGCCATCGTGGGGCGCGAGTATATCCGATTCGATTTCATTACTCATCAGGATCTCTACCAGCCTACCCTCAAATTGAAATTCTTTTAGTCAGGATTAGAATAAGTTAATCTATGAGACCTTGGGCATGGTCGAATACACCAATTGAAAGGGTTTGACATCCTGAGTCGAAAACTGTAATTAGATCTCAAATCAGTCTAGAGATGGCGGAGCTATGAGCTAAATGTTTGTACTTGAAAAAACAAACAAAAAAACAACAACCCAAAACTCAGAGCCGTTCTATGAGCCACTATGCCGCGGCTAAAAATTATAAGTCTAAATGTGGTTATTGATTTTGTTGCTTTAGTTATATAACAATGATCATTAAATTTCTCAGCATTTTTCTTTGACAGTCAGATATTCTGTATATAAAATATTACGATGTTTCTTTCTGATGGGATGAATCTGTTCTTGGTATATCTGCTGCATTTTTACAATTGAAACGAATAAAAAAACGATTCTTGAGTATTACGACAGCTTGTTTTTATATTAAGCTTAATTTGTGGACAAACTTCCTTAAATAATTGAACATCGGAAAGAACCACATTCTTCCTTTCACTTTTCCACAATAAAATTATTCAGCTTAGAATTTCATCTTGTTTTCCTGCTCGTTGAGTCGATTTTAATTTTTCCTTATACCATTGGCTCATTAGGCAATACATGGATTCTGAGCTTTAAAGCAGAGGTTCACAAACCAGGGACCATGAATCCTTTGGAGACCATTATTCTAGAGGGCCCTCAACATGTATAAAATAACGGTGACCTTAAAAATGCCCACACTAATAGGATGAACCATTATAACAGCTAATGGGGGATTTATTGGGTAAGGGTCTTCAGTTTGTTGTAGAGCAAAGCTACATTAAACCATCTGTTGTGTCCAACACAGGGAATCGAATCCCATATTTTAAAATTGTAAGTTCGTAAACTTACCACTGTTCCATCAGGGATGCCTTTGGTTTCTTTGAGCCGAGTTATTTCCGAGTTTTTATATTTGGTTAATTTATTTTTCATATTACAGATCCAATTCAGAAAGAATCAAATTATGGGACAAACAGACCGTTTAATGTTAATAGGTTGTCCGTGTTAGCACCATGTTTGAATTTTAAAAAGTATATTTTCTCATTATAATTTCATTTCAGACTAAAGTTTTACTTGTTCTTCTATTTTTTTCTTAAAAAAATGTTTTAAAAACGAAACGAAATGTATTTACACGAGGAGCGCTCAAATATTCAAAGCCTAAACGAAACGTGCTTCTGTTGCCCTACTATTTCTAACTCTGCATTCTTACTTGGGTAAAAAGTAACAAGAACAAAATAAATGACCAGTTTTATATCTTGCTCAGCTTCAATTTTAACTCATCACAAAAATATCATCTCACATAAGTCAGACGGACTGGCCTTGCCAGGTCAGTGAATTAATAATAGCATTTAATTTTCATTATTATTTATTTTCTTCAATATTGCTTATTTGTAATTAAGCACAAAGCTACACAGGGGTATCTGTGCTCTGCCCACCACGGGTATCGAAACCCGGATTCTAGCGTTGTAAGTCCGCAGACATACCGCTGTGCCACTGGGGAAGGGGGGCTTTTCTTCAATAAATAGACAACGCTCGTTAGGAGGCGAAAGGACCCGAGAAATGGAAACATAAAATAACTACCTCTTTGATTCGGTTGTGACGTGGAGTATTTGGTTCTCCTGGGTCCTCGAGCTCCATGCGTTTTGCGAAAGCAAATTTGAAGGCTTCGATTACACGGTGGTAGTTTTGTATCTTCTGAGTAACTGTTGAAAAGCTTGTCTCGTTCAAATGGTATTCGTCAAGAACGTTCAGGACAAACCCAAGCAGAGCTCCACTACCAGGAGGAGGCATACTGTACATTGTTAGGTTGGCATGGAAACTCATCTGGACTGGTTCACTCCACATGGGTGAGTAGGCTAAAAAGTCTTGTTCGGTGATGATCCCGCCTAAACATAACCCCCAAAAAATCAGGTCTTCGAGTTCAAATATATAGCATAAACAACTGAGTAACTTTAAAACGTGTAATAAAAGCTCTATATTTTTAAACGTTAACTCTCGAGCATTGCGATAAGCGGTCATGATGAATCCTAGCTATCATCGAAACTCCTTCATTATGAACTCAAATTCATACATAAAATACTTCCCATTTATAATGCATGTAATTTTTTTGCCCTATAATTTTCTCATTGCAATGTAATCGTCACCTTTCAATATTGTTCAAACAGTACTTGCATCTCAGAAATTCGTAATTTCTGTAAAAAACAGAGAATGTTACTTTTCAACTTTAGAAGTTCATCTAACAAAAGATTTGATACTTTCTAGTAAAGCTACGAGTGAAAAAATAAATATAAATTATGAATAGTTGGTATAAGTTGTGCGGAGTTTAAGTTAAATAAGCATATATTTAACATTTGAAATATAATTATGCCTTCGTAAAATAATAACGCGATTACCAGACTTTGGGACTAAAAAAGTGTAGTATAAAGACAATACAAAGATGTGTGAAAACGAAGCTTTAACAGAATACTGGACTGTCTGTTTTATTCTCATTGTAGGGGTCGAACTGAGAATTTTTAGCTACAAGTCCTTAAGCTCTCCGCTCAGCCACCAAGGAGCAAAAGCGTTTATGAAGTTGGTGCTTTAAAATCAATGAATTCCACAATTATTATTACATTTTTTTTCTTTTCCAGGTTAGAAGTAGAGTCTCTAATATTTATAAAGCTTCATCAGGATCATACTGGTAGGGTAATTATTAAAGCTCAACTTTGACGTGTTTATTATTATTAATATTATTGCCTCTTTCTTATTTCAGAGCTTTGGTTTTTGTAAAATTATAACAACTTGTGATAAAACTAATTTCCTGATTTTTACGAAACGAGTTAATAACAATCACCGCTATCAAAAGTGGCATAAAAATTATGACTTGCATTTAAAAAAACAAACAATCGTAAATCTATTCAATTTTATATGCTTATCTTATTGACAAGTGGCTCTGTAGTATACACCTACAATAAGGCTGCATCTATACAAACAAACGTCTGTGTATCTGTTCCTTATACGTTTCTATATTTCTTTATAGATTAGCATCTAACTTGACACAGTGATACAGGATGAGATGAGGAAGGTTATGAGGGTGTTGGGGGTTGTCCCCATTTAATTTCGTATATAATTTATCAGCACAATCTGACACAGTGATACAGGATGACATGAGGGGGGATTGGACCCCCATATAATTTCATATTGATAGGATTCTTGAAAATAGTATGTCTTTTTTTTTCATTATTGGAACCTTTATGCATTTTTATTGCACTATTAATGTTTATTATGTCAAGAAAAGAAAATAGAAGCACAATTTCCTATTATTTGTTACAAACGAGTTTTTATTTCACTCGTCCAATGGACGGATACTCCAGCTAGTATTTTATAAAGTTTGTCCAGTTCTTTGGCTATCTGTTTGATTGAAATTCACACACAAAAATGAATACTAGATGGTGCTTAAGTAGATTATATCTTCTATTTTACTGTCTATACTGTGTAGTGATTATGTTCTCTCTCTCTCTCTCAGAGAATGAGAAACTTTTTCTCGAACTTGTTTAGATAAAAATATTAAAAGACCGTATCACGCTAGGACTAATTTTCATTATTCATCAGAACATTACCCCAAAAAGGCTATATGAACTTACCAAAACTTTGAATGTCTTCTACAAGATTTTTCTCGAATTGTCCATAAGTTATTGCATTGGGATTTTCATTAGAAAGATTCCTCAAAGTTTCCGCCATTATAGGATTACGAAATATTTCATTCTCCTTGTACACGTCGTCAGTATTTGTATTCCAAAACAGCATTCTGTAAAAAAAAAAAAAAAAAAATGAAAGAAGAAAAGAAAATGAAAAGAAAATGTAACAGTACCATAAGGTAAATTTTGAAGTATTTTATTACTGAAATGTTTGTTTGTTTTTGTAATTAAGCACAAAGCAACACAATGGGCTATCTCTGCTCTGCCAACCACGGGTATCGAAACCCGGATTCTATCGTTATAAGTCCACAGACATACCGCTGTGCTACTGTGGGGCTGAAGTGTTCAATAAGCCAGGTTTGTGAACTGCACGTGATTTGATTCCCCCGCGGTTGACACAGAAGAGAGCTCAATGTGGCTTTGCTATGCTATAAAAAACAAACATTGTGTGAAATTTATTAAGTGAAGTAGCGAGAACCATTCAAAGAACAACAAAGTTGTAACAAACAAAAAATGAAGAACAAAGGTTTGTTTGTTGTTAAGCACAAAGCTACACAGAGGGCTACCTGTGCTCTGCCCACCACGGGTATTGAAACCCGATTTTTAGCATTAAAAGCCCTCAGACTAAGCCACCGAGAGGGAAGGGGGAAAAAAAGAGGGAAAGGCTAGAGATATGCAAAGAAACAAAACACAATGTGGAAGTAAAATAATACAAGGATAAATTTTTAATGTTAAATCAAGATTGATGTACTAAACAGTATCACGACCAGCAGTTTTTGTTTCAGCGCAAAGCTACATAAGGAGCTATCTGCGTTCTGTACATCACGGGAATCGAACCCCGGATTTTATAAGTCCATAAAACTACGGGGAACCACAGCCAACAGAACATTGTTCTCAGTTAGCAGAAGTAACAGATTAAACACAAGGAATTATCAGAACAAATAACAGCTCATGCACTCATGGGTTAAGCGGACAGGTCAGAGACCACTAGGGTTAAAATATACCCGTCCTTTATTTGTAACTACAGACAGGTCATAGACCACTAGGGTTCAGATATACCCGTCCTTTATTTGTAACTACAGACAGGTCATAGACCACTAAGGGTTCAAATATACCCGTCCTTTATTTGTAACAACAGATAGGTCAGAGACCACCAGGGTTCAGATATGCCCGTCCCTTATTTGTAACTACAGACTCTGAACCCTAGTGGTCTATGACCATATGCCCGTCCTTTACTTGTAACTATAGCCAGGTCAGAGACCACTAGGGTTCAGATATACCCGTCCTTTATTTGTAACTACTGATCAGAGAGAAGACAGCCAGCCACTCAGCATCACTCATCGCTAGATGGGCTTTGTCCAATGTTGAACCGAGTAGCGGGGTTTACTGTCACTCTTATAACGCATCCAAAGATGAAAATACTGAACGTGTTCAGAACATCTGACCTTTCGATACGCGCACCCTGTCCGGGTGCTTTTATAAAGTAGACCTTCCCCCTTTTTTTCAGGGATTAATTAGAAATTAATTATCCCTAACTCTTCTCGGACATAACAAACACGGAAGACAAAATTTTGAAACGCCGAAACTTACTTGGAATTTTTTGGTTTTAGTCCCGAGGCCACTACTACCGTTGGGGGTAACTTGGATGGAGATGTATCATCGGCGATGTTCGGGAAAGTTGTACCTGGTAGCCCATCCCCTCTTCATCTTACCGTCCCTAATTTAACAGTGAAAGACTAGAGGGAAGGGAGTTAGTCGAGACCACCCACAGCTAACTCTTGTACCATCGAATAATGAGATTGACCATAGCATTATAACGCCCCCACGGCTGAAAGGGTGAGAATTTTGGCGACGGGAATTCGAACCCGCGACCTGCAGATTACGAATTGAGCGCCCTAATCATCGAGCCCTACCAACTCATATTTGGACTTAGTTGTTACTGTTTATAGTTTGTATTGCTGAAATTATTCATAAAATACACTGTTTAGCTGTAACATGTTTACTTTTGAAAGTGCAGTTACGTCATGGCATTTAATTGATTTGTTTGTTCGTTAAATTTCGCGCAAAGCTGTTTGAGAACTATTTGCATTAGCTATCTCTAATTTAGAAGTGACAGACTAGGGGGAAGGCAACTAGTTAACATCACCCACCGCCAACTTATGTGCTACTCTAATTGAATAATGGGGTTGACCGCCACATTATAATGCCTCTACGGCTGAAAGGGAAAGCATATTCGATGATGAGATTCGAACCCGTGACTCCCAGATTGCGAGTTAACCACCGGGCCATTTAATTAAATACTACTAGTTGTTAATAATATTCAACTGAAGGCATAATCTGTCTACTTTTAGTGTTTTTCTTCAGTTGACAAGAAGTCTGAGTATGGCTCAATGATTATCGTACGCTGGCTTAGATTTGGAGCTCGAAACTTGATGTCGCTGAATGAGTTCTGCAATTTCAGCTGTGAACACGTTATAGAAGTGACAGTCAATTCCATTATTTATCTCAAAGAGCCGGACACATCCCTTGTGGCAGCGAGTGCTACCGGCTTTCCATTTACTGCCTTTCCATCTGGTCAGTAACTTAAACTTCGGGACAGTTATACCTGAGCTCTAGAGGTCTCTGAAACAGCAGTTTAGCCCATGTGTGTGTGTGTGTTTAAGATGCCAATGAGGTTGAACACTCCTAGTCTTTCTCATTCGAGTAAGTGCTCTGTAAAATCTATCCTTGTATTTCACATTTATTACCCATCCATTCAGCTGTACTTACCTTAGGCTTAGCTCGGTTCGAATAATAAACTTCGGGACAGTTATACCTGAGCTCTAGAGGTCTCTGAAACAGCAGTTTAGCCCATGTGTGTGTGTGTGTGTGTTTAAGATGCCAATGAGGTTGAACACTCCTAGTCTTTCTCATTCGAGTAAGTGCGCTGTAAAATCTATCCTTGTATTTCACATTTATTACCCATCCATTCAGCTGTACTTACCTTAGGCTTA